ATAGCCTGGATATCATCTTATTATATAACCTAGATATCATCTTATTATATAACCTAGATATCATCTAATTATATTTCCTAGATATCATCTTATTATATACCCTAGATATCATCTTATTATATAACCTAGATATCATCTAATTATATAGCCTGGATATCATCTTATTATATAGCCTGGATATCATATAATTATATTCCCTAGATATCATCTTATTATATAACCTAGATATCATCTAATTATATGTCCTAGATATCATCTTATTATATAACCTAGATATCATCTAATTATATTGCCTGGATATCATCTTATTATATAACCTGGATATCATCTAATTATATACCCCAGATATCATATAATTATATTCCCTAGATATCATCTTATTATATAACCTAGATATCATCTAATTATATTTCCTAGATATCATGTTATTATATACCCTAGATATCATATAATTATATAACCTATATATCATATAATTATATAGCCTATATCTCATCTAATTATATATCCTATACATCATCTAATTATATAACCTATATATCATCTAATTATATAACCTACATATCATCTAATTATATACCCTATATATCATCTAATTATACAACCTACATATCATCTAATTATATAGCCTGGATATCATCTAATTATCTAACCTAGATATCATCTAATTATATAACCTACATATCATCTAATTATATAGCCGATATCATCTTATTATATACCCTAGATATCATCTAATTATATACCCTAGATATCATCTAATTATATACCCTAGATATCATCTAATTATATACCCTAGATATAATCTTATTATATACCCTAGATATCATCTTATTATATAACCTAGATATCATCTAATTATATACCCTAGATATCATCTAATTATATACCCTAGATATCATCTAATTATATACCCTAGATATCATCTAATTATATACCCTAGATATAATCTTATTATATACCCTAGATATCATCTAATTATATACCCTAGATATCATCTTATTATATACCCTAGATATCATCTTTTATTATATAACCTAGATATCATCTAATTATATAGCCTATATATCATCTAATTATATAACCTATATATCATCTAATTATATACCCTAGATATCATCTAATTATATACCCTAGATATCATCTAATTATATACCCTAGATATAATCTAATTATATACCCTAGATATCATCTAATTATATACCCTAGATATCATCTAATTATATACCCTAGATATAATCTTATTATATACCTAGATAATCTTATTATATAACCTAGATATCATCTTATTATATAACCTAGATATCATCTAATTATATAACCTATATATCATCTTATTATATAGCCTGGATATCATCTTATTATATAACCTAGATATCATCTTATTATATAAGCTATATATCATCTTATTATATAACCTACATATCATCTTATTATATAACCTAGATATCATCTAATTATATAGCCTAGATATCATCTAATTAT